ATAATTTTTGCCATATTCGTGGGAATTCCRGGCTGCTTTTTGGGACTAATCTTAAAAAGCTGCAGCCCGGAGATGAGAGAGAGCGATAAAAATCTGCGTGAGTTTATTCCTGTTTATCCATTTGATCACATGGTCGCGCTCGCTGCTGCACAGCTAATTAAAGCTCCAAACACACAGCGTGCACATGCACTGACGTACACAGGCGGCTGACCCTAAKCCCCGGTGCACACACCTTCCTAATACACCACAACTGTTTCCAATCTTAAGGTTCCTGCTTGTCTGGGCCCCGGCGAGGCCTGATTGCACGATACAGGATCCTCAAGAAAAGAGGGCAAGGCTGCGGGGGGAGATGTGCCTCCACTTCTTTCTTTTTTTCCTTTTTTTTTTCCTGCTCACTCTCCCTTTCATGCTGTACCTGTACAGGAATCTGGTGTCTGTTAAAGTGGCTGGAAAAGGAAAACAGACCCCAGAGACTGCGGAGGAAAGCATTTGTCTTAAATTCATCAGAGATCTGTCAAACACTGGAGCGCCGAGGGTCAGATTACCACGCAGATAAAAGTTCGTTTCAGTTCAGACACACAAAACCAAGAAGCTCTTTGAGTGTTGATGATGCAATATTAATTCTCAGATTATTTACCGTAATGATGGCTGAGTCTGAGGGAACATACTTTTATAAAATAACTTGTTTTTGTTTGTTCCAAAACCTTCTGTTTAGATGTAAGCATGTGTTGTCAGAAGAGAAATTCAAGAGAAAAAAGTTAAGAACGGTTGTTCATTTTTACTCTTTTTAAAAGAAAAAAATTATTTTGTCTCACAAACGTTTAAGACTTCATGACGTTTTCCCCATTTTATATTTTGACACACATGCTTAAAAACTAAATGCTAATGCTAACTTTTTATTATTTTTTTCACGTGCCTTAATTTACAAAGGAAATACATTTATCTGTGTAACAAATTATAACCAATTTTAAAAACAATTACCAACAAAATACACATTATTAGCTATACTAACATAATTATATTAAAAAAATTATTCTGGCCATTTTGACAGTCAACATTATGGTTGAGAGGATTACAAAAATTGTTTTAAACTGAACATAAAATTAAATGTTTTACATTCAATAATTGGAGAAATTTGACTGTCATCGTCACAATTTTAGGACTAAATTTGCATTCATCTGCACTGCATTGAAATTTTTTCAACACGTGAAAATGAAAACACGTGAACGTGCATCATTTGATCACAGTTTTATTCCACTTTTTCTTCGTCTTTATTTTTTGTGAATCTGTGTGTGTGTTATTTGTTTTTTAGGATTTGGTGGGATGGTTAATTTTAAATAATGAACAGGAGCGTTCTTGGGACAGACTAAAAGAAATTTAAAAAATAACAAACGTTAATGTGTGTGTGTGTGTGTGTGTGTGTGTGTGTGTGTGTGTGTGTGTGTGTGTG